AACTGGAAAGTTAGAAAAAGAATGTTTCCCGCTACAGAATGTAGCATTAGAAGCGTATTTCGTTCGCTGATGGAGGGGGTCTTTTGAGCGAGAGAGGGAGTTGTTTGTAAATCGGTGGCAACTGCAATTCGTTTTGCCGCTGACCTTGAGGGGGCTTTGCGTTTCTTGAAGAAGAAAGCAGAAGCTGGTGGTAAACAAAGTTCACTTCTGACAGATGGATTGAATGACAGAGAGGTTGCGGGTGCCAGAATAGCCCTGGCAGCGGAGGAAATGTTCAATGCGGTCCAACAGGAGAGGAGGTGTGAACAGGTGCGGGGCTGCTGAAGGAAAGGGGACCAGATGGAGGAAGCCAGAGCCAGTTTAGTTAAAGGAAAAAGGGTGGGAGGGAACAGCAAACGGGGGGGGAGCATGCGGAGAGAGAGAGAGAGAGTGAGAGAGAGAGAGAGAGAGAGAGAGAGAGAGAGAGAGAGGATAGATGAAGGAGGAGGATAGTAGGGCTGATAGGAGCAGCATTAGGAGCAGTTAGGATATAGAGTAAATAGTGTGTGTGAGTGTGTGTGTGTGTGTAAGTGTGTGTGTGACTGTGAAGCAGACTGGGGGGGCAGGTTGGACTCTTTCATCTCTGTGTTTTTCAGGGGGAAGGGGGGTGTGTGTATCAGTGGGAAACGGAAGAGAAGCGTGATTGACGCTAACTGCCGTTCAATAAATGCTGTAAAACATCTGAGGTTTGGGGTGTGTGAGAATATGTGTGTGGTGTGTGTGTGTGTGTTTGTGTTTGTGTTGTGTGTGTGTGTGTCATTTGGTACTTGGGGAGAAGATGAGTGTGCCACTAGGACACATATTGCGTTTCACTGGGACATATCTCTATGGCCAAAAAAAAAAAAGTAAGATTTAATGTAATTCATCATATTGCTTATTGTGTATCAAAATCATTGATTTTTGTATTTTGCAAAAAAAAATGAAAATTTAATGCTTTGCATTAAGACTATGTGCTAAATTTATCAACTATGTATGAAATGACGGACTGATTTCCATATGGCTGTCTTTTTTATAGTATACTAATATAATCACTTAGTAGATATCAGATAATTACAGAATGTCCCCATTTTTAATGCATCTCTCATGAATATCTGCAATATGTTTTAGTTTTTAGAAGGAATGTTTCCTTCTGGGTCCTGTAGCTTAAATGAATTAACATGACAACTTCTGTTCTCCACACTACAAAGTCCAGGTTCTCTGCCTGAATTCACTTGTATCACAACCAAAATCCTTTTGACCTTTAAATTTGATAAATCATACGGCACAATGATCAGCTTAAAGACATTCAGGGAAGAAGTCATATTTCATACTGTGCAGTCGCTTCGGGTAAGTTTTTCTCCTGCCACACGGTGCAAGCTGTACTTTGTAAAGTTTCCATTGCACATGTATTACCATACAAACGGTGGCAAGTCTGCTCGTGTACTGTTGAGCGCTGATGAAGCCAACCGGCTGACTCCAATTTGTGCACATTTTAGGAACGGTAGCATTTGGTCATTTCTGGCGTGGGATCATGGTGCACCGCAGGGTGCTGCAAACTCTGCGCTCGAGCGGTCTGTGGTATTCCAAATCAAATGGGCAACAGCTTGAATAGTGCCCACTTAGGCAGCCCCCGGCCCTCTCCCCTCAGCAGCACCCAGCCACGGAGCCGGTTCGGGCCGATCCACGCTGCTCCTGAAAAGGCACGCCCGGTCGACCCAAATCCACCTCCCGACCGCAGGACATTAGGCCTCGCTCACATCATTACTGTCAGTGAGCAAACACACGCAGAATACGCACTGACCCGCTGCAGAACATGAGCACCACAGGGTGTATGAGGTGGCCTCTGCCTGGCCCGAGTTCACCGCACCAAACCACACCTCTTGAAGCGGAACGGCTATAGGAGTAAGCCACTGTAGGCAGACAACCCCGGTCTTTTGACTGTATTTGGGTATTTCAGTGAGCACAATTCTGTAAAGTTACCTTTACGAATGTCTTTCAAATTTTAACAGCAGCAACAGTAGTAACTGTTTGTAATTCTTATCTTTCCACATTTAGTGCCACAGTGTTTTAATTAAATGTTGCTAAACAGTTTTACATCATTAGCTACAGCATATGTTTTCCTGTGGAAAAGAAAGTAAAATGTCCCTGATTCCACTGAGCACTCATTAAAAACAAAACATTCCACGGATTTGAAAACCTATCCTAAAATGGCCATTTTACAAAGCATTTAATATTAATATTGTGCAAACTTTGACTGAAAATATTTCCTTTATTTCATGACAATATTTGGTAAACAGACTTGTTAATAAAAGCCAATAATAGTTGTCACAACACTAAACCAAATGTAAGTGAAAATAGCTGTATCTCTCTGGTATTTCATGACGGTGTATGTGATTATGCTGTGATTTATGTTGTTTTAATTTTAGGTGATTTCATTTTTAGAAATGATGAAGCTAATTATTACTGTCAGGTCAGAATGTAACAATTTCGGTACAGTTTCGAAAAATAAAAATCAGTATTTAAAACACTGAATTGAATTGTAACTCCATCAACGATGCGCTGCTTGCTGTTGTCCAGGGCTCTCTTATTTGCCATCTTTCGTGGAAGCCAGTCATTCCAGTAACCAGTTGATTCCGATGTAAACTTTAAAAACAGCTTAAACAGAAACTTAGTTATGTTCAGAAAAGTATGAACATAGAGAGTGCTACTGGTGGGAAAATAAACACAGAAATATTAAGGGTGCTCTATGGAGTGGGATTCAAAAGCTTATAAAAAAGTGAATATTCACTGAGTTAAAAAGCCTGTGGTAGCATGGCTACGGTCACAAACAGACCCTTTTAAAGGTTTCAGGAACTTTCAAATGATGTAAAGGTTCCATACCAATTTTAGCGTTTTTCTTGGAACCTTCACTTTATGTTCAGGTTTCCTTAAACTTTGCATGAGAAAGTTGAAATGAAAGCACCTTCATTTTTAAGTATGAGTTTTAAGCACTGTTAAATTTACTTATGGTACACTTTTAAATATACTTTTTACTTATGCTACTTTGCAGTCTTTTGTGTTGATATAAATCCATATTTTCCTGAACTGAAATGATCAGTGTAGTATGTATCAAATTGTATATTGACTTTGGAAAAAAAATATTACATTTAACCTAAAATTGTGTATAGCAGTACATCCTTATCCTGGCATTTTAGGGGTGTACAGGTGTTATTGGGGTGAATTTGTTTTGTGGTGATTTCTTCAGTGGTTTACTCCTGTGCCATGTGTCCTTGTTGCAGGTGGTACGGAATAGTGAAGCCTATCGGCCTGCGGCTCTTCACGCACGCGTATGCTTCCTGCTCTGCTTATTGCCAGTTGGTGTCAGTTGGCTTCGGGATGCATCAACTAGAGCTTGAGTGAAAAGTTAACTTACTGGGGAAACATGAAGATGGCAGCTATGTGCATTTTCAGAATATTCTGCAAAATTCCAAGTAAAAATCATATTTCATAGAGAAAGCCTGACTGAAATCTAGACTAACAGGATGTGCTAATTAGCTTAGATTAGCTTTAAGTACTGTTTACATTCTTCATCAGAAACATACACACAGTTCTTCCGGCATGTTAGACATCTGTGTGACTGGCTTTCATGCTGAACTCAGAAACCTTCATATAGAATATATTAACAGATGATAATGAATGTAAATAAGCAGAGAGAGAGACGTGTATATGAGATCCATTAACTCTCTGAACGTATAGCAAGCAGCTTCAGGTAGGTAGCGTATTCTGTCAGGCACTCATGCTCATCTCACCTGTGCTGCGCTCTAAGCCATTAGCTTAAAATGCCCAACAATGGTGCACCTCTCACTCTCTGGTGTCCAGACACTCGCTCTGTAAGGCTCGCCAGCCAACTTTTCTCCCCCCGAAGTGTTCGTCGGAACTTTCTGGCGGTCTGTCTCATGCTAATTGGTCGACAAACACCCCCCCCTCCCTCCACCGCCCCCGCACCCCGGCGAGTGGCTGGGCCCCCTGGAAAGCCGCGGTAACAAATGGCTGGCTGCGAGGCCTTTGTGAGCCCCTGCTGAGCGCTGGTGTGGATGGTGTTTTAGGCCGCTGTTCAAGCACAGCGGGGGCCCACCGCTTTCCCCTGCTCTCTCTCTCTCACAGCTCTCGCGGGCGGAGCGCCTTCACACTCCAGACGACAGCAGGCCTGCAGAGACGGTCACTTCTCCAGCTACGTTCCAAACCCAGTGTGCGAGAAAAGTTTTGGGCTTTGCTGTTAATTAATGCACTTTGACTTTGTGCGGTTTGTTTCTTGTTTTTTTTTTCTTTTTTTTTCCCGCCTTTCAGCGTCTGTCCTTCGTTGGCCACAGTTATGTCTTAAAGAGAGAAGCTTAGATGCTTCGCTTTTGAGAGGTTTGATGACAGTTCCGCAGATCACAATGACATTTAGTCTGACTTTGTATTGCTAATGGAAGTTGGCATTGTTTTTGAACAGTTAAGTAACTTAATTGGCTGGTATTAATGAGTCTGTGTGAATACTATCAGACTCTCCCACATGTGTTGCATATTTTGATGCAGTTCATTTGTGTTTCAGGTCAGTATCCTTAACCCTTTAAACTCTGGGCTTCAGTCATTGTTCAGTCATTAATCTTAAGGCTTGATATGGCAACCGCTATGAATTATTAATTAACTTATATATAGCTTATATGTAATGTGTGTAGTTATGAGAATGAGGAACTGTATGCTCCTACATGCAGGCCTTTTAAAGACATTAAATTGTTAAAGAGGTTAAATTGTAGGTTCAGTATTCAGTCATTACTACTCTTAAGGCTTATTATCCATTATGAATGATTAAGTAACTGCTATGATGCTAATAGTGTATGTATATGTATGTATTTATGGTAATGAGAATATTATACAGTTTGTGATGTATCTGCTTCTCTCTCTCTCTCTTTCTCTCTCTGTCTCTCTCTCTCCTGCTCTTTCTCTCTGTCTCTCTGCAGGCAGGAGAAGGAGGCAGCGGAGCGCTGTTGTGCGGAGGACATGGCCGCTCTGACCTTCCAGGCGCAGCGGCGCGAACGCGAGCTGACACACACACTCCAGCAAATGGAAGCGCAGCACGAGCATAGTGGTGGGTGTCGGCCGGTGCGCTGCCCCTTGCCAAAACAACCGCCTCCCCTCTCTCCCCCTCCCCCGCCCCGCTGGCGGCCCGTGCCACGCTGCGTGGGACGGCATCAGGAACACCTGTAACCTTTGGCTGGCCGAAGGGAGCAGATGCTCGGCACTCCGGAGCGTCGGCGCCACGTATTAGTTAGCGTTTAAAAATGTGCGGGGGAGGGGGGAGGTGGGGGAAGTGGGCAGCGCTGCCCACTGTCTGTTGATTTCAGAGTGCTGCTCTCACATCTGTTGCACCATCTGGATCAGCGAGTTTATTTACCTGTGTTTCGAGAAACTTGAGGCATGCTGATTGCCAGAACAAAGCGCGGGGAAAACAAAGGGCTTCTTTTTGGCGCGGCTGCGCAGCACACATGTTGTCTAAAGAGAAATGGCATCAGAGGCTCAGCAGGAAGCTCTCTGGGCTTATGGAATTAGTCCTTTAATACCACAGACCACTTCTCTCTCTAAGCATATAATGGCCACTCTCACAAGCTAATTATTTTTTTCCCTCCCTGCTCCCTCCCCTATTCGCCCTGTCTATCTCTCCAAAATGGACTGGTTTTTAGTAGTTATTTAAGACAGAATCGCCTCTAAATCATGTTTTTTTTATTTTTTTTTAACTCGATCCCCTGTTTGTTTTGACTCCAGTTTGTTTGTCTTTTTATCTTTTTGTGTGTGCGTGTTTTTTTTTTTCCCTTTCCTCTGTGGCCTACGCAGGCCCAGCCGTTTTCAAAGCCCAGCGACTCATTAAGATTCCTTTGGTGAACTTTTTTCAGCAATCTCAACTTTTTGAGTTGATATGAAACTGCAGCCCATCTTTTTCACTGCCTCTCACCACTGTCTCCCTCTGTCACGCCTCCTTACCATCATAGCGTTGAAATTTCAGCTGCAAACATCCATGATGTGCTTATAAATCTTTATATAAAGAAGGTTTGATTTATGTTCTCTGATGATCCTATATTCTGTTGTAGTAGCAGTAGATGGTATGCACAGATATCAGTAAGTCTACCTGTGCTTTCAAATAAGGATTGTTTATGAAACAGTAATTCGTCTCATAATATACCTGTGTTGAGAGAATCAAAAGAGTGAATATAGAATAGTTAAGTATTATAATGCTGTCTTATGTGGCTTGAATGCATAATTAGTTTATTATTACACAGTTTAGTAAAATAGGCCTATGTGAAGTAAAAATGAAGCCCAAACCAAAATACTGGGTGAAAAATCAAAGATAGCACTTTCGTCCATCAGGGCTTCCTCTCTGCGTAATTCAATTCAAAAATCTGTCCCTTTATTCATGAAATAGCCATGGCTTTCTTGCTTAATTCAAAGCTCATTCCAATGTAGTAATTCATAAATATTGAGCTAAACATGGAAATATGGTTACCCATACGAATTCCTGATCATGCATGCAAATTATACGCACAAGCTGTTGAGAGCCTTTGCAGAAGCGATGGCGATATGGCGAAAATACAGTATCAAGATACTTGGAGACGTTTTCAAGATATTTAGTTTTTCTCAGGTTTGATGAGTTGATACTAACAAAGAACCAGTGGTTTCACATTTAAAAGGAAATTTCAAAATATCTGTGTGACTTACATGCTAAGGTGTAAATAATGTCAGAGTGGTTAGAGTCAGAATTGTTCACAGTGGTGATGACAAAAACCAGACATCTGAAATGTTTGTTGCCTCTAAAAACTCACAGAAAGCTCTGACATGAAATATTTATGATACGCTTCCTGAAACCTGAGACAATTTTACAATAATTTTGAGAAGGTTTTGGCATAAAAAGTTTCTTTTTGTTTTTTTTTCCCTGTTCATGGTAAAGAGGTACAAGTAGATCATTGTGAGGCAAAGTAATTAACAAAGAAAATGTTTTTTTTTCCAAATGTACCTCTGTTTTATCATTATCAACATTACATCTAAAACTCAGAAGAAAAGTGTAGATTTACTGATGCTTTGGATAGTAAATAAAATGGCTATGTTTGTGTTGTACACATTGGAACCCCTGGTTCCTATCACCACCACTGTAAAGAAATGCAGTACATTTCTCTTTATTTACATCTCACAGGTGAAACTGTGTAGAAAGCTAGAAAAAATAATGCCGTTTCCCTTTTAAAAAAAAATCATCAAATGATTTTAACTCGTTTTATAAACAATCCAGGTAACTAGGCCCAATTATGCTTTGTAACAATATGCAGTTGGTCAGTGTTTTCTAAGTACTGACTTTATCCACACTATGCTCAGAAAAATGTAATGAGACTGTTCATCACCATTCAAATATATATATTTATATATATTTTGCTCCACAATTAGGCTCGCTTATGTTACGAACTGATTTCCACTAAAGTGCCCCATGGCCATTGGCTGCTCGTACACAGATTTAGCCACACTGCTAAAAGCTTCTCTGTTCTTACATTATGTGATGTACAGTAATAGAGAAGCTGTAGTGAAGCCCAAGCCTTTCCTCTCCCTGATACAATGTGATTATGCAGTTATGGAGTGACCTACTCCACTGAGAACTGATAAAATTATGAGACTAATAGTGGAAAATCATTTTTAAAATATTGACGTAAAAAAAAAAGAATATTTATTTTGCTGCTGTTTCGCTCTTGCTTGAGAGATTTCTGTATGAACCTATACTTTTAAAGTAGAAGAAATGAGAATGTGGATCAGAAATCATAGCACATTGTCCTTTGTACTGAGACTTATATCTGAGTGATCCAGAGAAAAGATGCTTATGCCACACAAAATCTAATTCCCACATGCTACTCAAAAAAAAATAGTTTAAGCAAGATCTTTAATAGATAAAGAAAGACTGTGCAAATGTTTGTCACACAAGACTACCTTCAGTGAATGAAGTCACAAATCATGTGACCAAATCACAAAGAAACTATCAATAAATACCTAAAAAAAAAATACACTTCACAGTACAAAAACAAATTGTCTTAAAAAAATTACTCCTGACATAAAAAATACAGTAAGCTCAAATATAGACATTGACCACCCTGTTTTGTCTGATACAGTTTGTAAATGTATAAAGATAAAGCATATTTGCCTGAAAGCATGGCCAAAGCTAATGATGTGGGCCTATTTATTCAATTTATGTTTATCTAAATTCTGCATTTCCACTTTGTGAATTTTGTGAACTGATCCTAAGCCCACAATCACTATCAATTGATGAGACCACTAGAATAAATAATTCTGTTAAACGCCAGCATGTTTTACTAGTTTTTGTTCTGATCAAAGAACAAAATCTCCTGAATCACAAAACATCGTAACGATATCTTTAAAAGCACCAAGCAGGAATTCAGAGAAGAGCGAGTAGCTGAAACGTATTATGAATCCATTGAGGCGACATCAAAGGCAGAAATCCTTCATGATTTGCATAGGGACAGAACAGTAGACTGTAGAATATCAGTGACTCCAAAACCGCACCACTGAAGCGGACATATGCTTGGAACAACAGCATACAAGGTTTCAAAGACTTATCAAAGCTTTCCATCCTCAGACTTTCAAAAGGCAGAGTCACTCCTTAAGCAGAAAACAATCAAGGACAACAAGCTCAACGCTGCATGGAGCTCAAACATGAAGCTTTCTCTGAACTCCTTGCAAGATGTGTTTTGTTTTCTCCTCACACAATGAGTAGCATTCATAGCAGTGATTACAGGTGCAGAGAGGACACTTGCAAACATGAGTTACTTTGTTGTTTCACAGAAAAAAAGACTAAGAAAGCATGTATTTTGTTATTTTGGGCATACATTCGCTCTGTTGTTCATACTGTACCTTATTGTCTCACAGTTGCAGAGATGGATGCCTTGCTGAGCTCTCAGAATGGCCTCATAGTGAAGCTGAAGGAGGAGTGTCGTGTTCTGGGTTCAAAACTGGAGGAGCTGACCCAGACTAGCAGGTGAGTAGATCTCTAACTCTTTAAAGTCACTCTTTTATGGCTACAACCACAGCTCAAACAGTGCTTCCCTTCACAGCTACACTCTTGCCAAAATGGTTCTTTGGAGCGATGCCATATCTGACCACCTTTGGTTCCCTGAAAAACCTTTCAGTGAATGGTTGTTTAAGGATACTCTAGCATTTTTAACCTAACCTCTGTGTCTTGCATCTGTAGCATACAGGTTGATAGCCATGTGACGTAATTTAGGTGCTTTTCCCTTTATCGCTTCAAAGAACCATTCTGGCACCTTTAGTTTTAAGAGTGCATTTCCAGAGACCTGCTGGACTGAGGTCTTTGATAAAATGTAGTGCAACATGCAGCAGCCTCATGTTCTGTCATGCATGTACTGATATTCTGGGCTAAGTTTCATTGTTTGCTTGTCACACGTTAACAATTCATGTGGGAACCACCCAGAACCTTAATTAATTGCCCCAACATGCTCATCATCACTGACAAATGAAAACCTTGTAACTCATGCATCATTTGATAACAGCAAATGGGAACGGAAAAACAATCAAGGGCACATGTAAAGGACACACAATTTAATTTTCTTCAAAGGGTCTTTATCATGGAAAACCTAATTGTCTTTACTTTTTTGAAATGAGTTGTTTTAAAGAATTGTGAAAGTCTCAAAACATACTGTTCCCTCCCCCCAGCCCACAAAGTAAATATATGGAAATCAAGCTGTAAAAATGGCCAGTTTTGAATTCATTATTTTTGTGATGTCATGAAAGTTAACTCATTTACATATATGTACGTATTTAGCCTACAGCAGGTTTGCCCCACCCACTCGTACTGAAGTTATAAGGAGTGTTTCAGCTCTGAACGCTTTTTGAGTGGGACACAATACAAGGCAGTCAGTCAGAATAGAGCTCATTTATCTTAGATCAGTCTTAAAGATACAGTAACTTAAACAGCCTGTATAATTCTAAGGGGTAAAGAATGAAGAGAAGTTGTAAATGGTTATGTAAAAATGAATTACTGTGACTTTTAGTAAAGTAAAAGTAAAATCAAGTAAAATGTACAATATGGGCCCTTTATATATAATAATAACTTGCCTAACAGTGCCTATCTTGCCAGTGATACATTCAGAGACTTTGGCCTGTCCCCTTTAGCTTATTAAAATCTGCTTCCAGAGTAGTTACACACATGCATGTCCACTTTGGACATAATAAAATGCATTAGCATGTGGAATTGGAGCTTTCTCTGTCCTTGACGCCTCTAGATATTTTTAAGGCCAAATGGTTGATTTTTTGAAGCTAAAGAATTATTTTTTAAAAAGCCCACATTTTGGTTACGATGGCTTGAAGAACCCTCTAGGAAGTGCTTTGCTTATGTCTACTAACATCCAGAAGGGAGCGCTCTTGCTAGTTTTACTTATCGATAAAATGGCAAAGATGAAACAACATACCTGAGTTTACGTTTTCTATTACTGATTATTGAAGATCATATTTTACTTCTGCCACACAGCAGTATATATCACACTGTTATATCACTGATCAGATCCACATTAAACTCTGAGGTGCATCTTTACATTTCTTCAATATTTTAATAGATATAATAAAGAATTTCACTGTGTCTGACTGAGCTTGTGTACGCATTCAGAACAGAATTTAGATTACTTAAGACTTGAAATAGAAGGAAACTGAGGTGTCAAAATGCAGAATAGAAAAATGTTCAGCTTTTATAGATCTTGTTTTTTTTTTAACATATCAAAGCAAATGCAGCACAATATTAAAGGCAGAAATAGATGGTTTTTTGTCTCTGCATTATAGAGGTTAACTAAAGGGTTCACTTTAATTAATAATGTTTTTTCTTTCTGCTGTGAAGTTTAACCATTTTTGAACAGTTGTGACTAAATATGAGTTAACTCCTTTTATGTTTTATGCAGAGGTTTAAGTGAGCAGCCTTGAGCTCTAGGAAATGATCAAATTAAATATGAAGATATTTTTCAAATATACCATTCTGTCAAGTAATATCTGCTTTAATAAAGTTAAATAACTCATGCTACTCTATTCTGAAAGGATCTCTTACAAATTTGATGTACACTATATGTTTGCAAGTTTGAAGATACCTGTATATCCAGCATTTCCTCTGAAATTTCAGGGTACTAATGGACAGATAGTTGCAAACTTGCTGTAGTAACAGTCTACGTTTTCTGGGGAAGGCTTTACACTAGATAGAACATTGTTTTGAGTGCATTCAGACACACAAGGTCAGGTACTTATGTTGCATAATTAGCCCCTCTGGTCGATACTTGACATTAGTCATGATGAGCATAGGCTGATGTGCAGCTGCAGGGCGTCCGATTCCATTGGCAGTGCTTTTTATGTAGATTTTGCAACGCAATTGAACACTTGTGTCAGCAATGGGTGCACCTTAACATTGCTGAATTCATTAAGTAGAAGTAGTATCTGGAAGCCTTTAAACATATAGTGTATCTTACACACATTGCATTTAACCAAGTTTTTGTTATTTATCAGTATTCCTAAAACAAAACATTGTTGTGTGACACCAAAACTGGTGTACTAGAACAGACAATCTTTCGCCCAGCACTAGTTCTAGGTTTGCCACACAGTGACTTAACTTTTTCCTACCCTATTTTATGCTCATGTTGACTCGTGCCATCCTCAGTGGCTTCATATGGCATGGCAGAATGTGCAGATGATATATAGCCCAGTAGAGCCGTGTGCAGTTTGTTATCCAGAGCGTGGCATCCTGTCCGTGCCCTCCTGCTCCAGCCCGCGCCCCAGTCAGGGATCTGTCACTGTACACTGGCACATGGCAGCCTGTCCTGTGTCCTGGCTCCGCTCTGTGCCCATCACATGCGCCTCTCACCTCAGGCCTCTGGGGTAGTCAGCTGTTAAAACAGCGTAAAGCGCATTACTCACATCGCAGCCTGCAATCTGCCACGGTCAGCCGGCCCAGCTTTGGGAAGGTACAGACCACTGCTGCTCTGCCTGTCCTCTTCCCCATCCCCCTCCTGTACTGGCAACTCAAGGAGACAGTCAAGAAGACACCCAGATACACATTCTACTCAGCATATCCCTAAAGATATTTTGTTACATATTGTATGTCCTCAGGCACAATCTTGCAAGCACGGGTCTCAATCCAAACAAGCAAATTATAAGAGTGGAGACAAGATAATGGAAAATAGCATTCTTCCTTTGTCGCTTACCTTTGCAAGGCAGCAGATGGCAAGATGGCACCCTCTGAAGGTTGTATTACATGACACTGTGGTAAAGCTAACATCCTCTTATTGACCTAACCTGAATATCAGTCAATGGTGTTAAGCCCATGCTATACCTTAACTTCACGTATGTATGACTTACCAAATGTAAGGAGTCATTTTGTCTGCTGAAAAGACACCCACATAAAATTGGCAATAATCACAGGTAGAGATCCTGCAAAACATTTGGCAAATTTACAGGTAAGGACCTGTTCTATGATGTCATTCCTTCTTTTAGTCAATTTAGCCTTATCTCTACATTTTTAAAAAAAAAGGTGCCAAAAGTTTATTTGGAATGGTGCCATGTAAGAACCGCTTTTGCTTTCCTAAAGAACCTTTGAATTAATTGGTTTCAGCTCTTTAAAAAAACATTTTTAGGGAATTATTCTTTAGGAAACCGAAGGTGTTTATTTATGGCATTGCTCCAAAGAAAGTCATAGGCCGACACATTCATTTATTAATTTCTGTTCAAAACAGTTGTCAAGTCTACCTTTTGCTTCTATTAGAGCTTCCATTTTTTTCAGAAGACATGCTCTTAGTTTTTCAAAGAAATCTGCATGGATGTTTTTCCACACCTCAAAAGTTCAGTCTTAAAAGTTACGTTTTCTGCTTCACACAATGCAAGTGATTCCTGACAGCTTGTCCTCTTGACAGCTCCATATCCTTTCAGACCCATAGCATTGAGTTGTCTTCTCACAGTGGAATGTCAATGAGAGCTTTGGAAGAAGCTTTTGTTGGGAGAACTCAGGTGTAACTGGCTTTAAAATTAGAAGAATGGAAGATTGGCAACAGTGTGCACAAAAGCAAAGAGTACTGATGTATTCGATTCTGTACTTAATGTTGTGTAATGTTCTGATAAATATATATTTCCTTTTTCTAATACTGAAAAATGAATAACTTTTATTTAATGGCTATTTGGACTGGAAATTGAGTACATTTATGGCATTTGGCTGACACTCTTATCCAGAGCGACTTACAGTTTGATCATCATTTTTTACCCAGCTGGGCGAAGGTAGTGTTAGGAGTCTTACCCAAGGACTCTTATTGGTGTAGTGTAGGGTCCTTGCCTGAGCGGGGGATTGAACCCCACTCTACAGTGTAGAAGGCAGAGGTGTTAACCACTACACTATACCAGTAAAAAGAAAGGGTGATCTCTGACTTTTGTACAGCCATATATATTTCCTAAATCATTTAAATATCCTGCAATACCTGGGCCAGCAGTAATTTTGTAGTGGCAACTGAGCATGACATGATCCAGGTAAGCAGAAGCGTCCACTTAATTCACCATATTCACTCAGTGATGCAATTACAATCTAAATCTGAGCTGTTTGCTTCTGCAACATTTTTACTTCTCTAAATTTTAACACATTGTGACGTTCCCACTGTTTTTGTGCTAAGACCATATGTTATTGTCAGTTAAATCATTCCATACATAGAAGGCTGTAAATCACACATCAGAAGATGTCCTGCCCACTGTCCCAGCAGTACACAAAACTCCAGCAGATACAGGAAGACGATCAGTCCAGCCCACTGAACGTCTGCTCGTTCGCTGTTCTTTCGTTGAGATTTTTAGAGTACATTCACTGAGTCATTTGCTGATATTGCTCTAACATAAGATGCCCAGATACTAATAACTTAAAATTTTTCCAGTCCAATCACACAGCACTCCTTTCTGAGTTGTAGGTGGTTCTAATACAAAACCCAGTGCCCATTTGTCTTTGTCACTTAAGACAGGTTATGTGATGCCAAACAGGTGCATTCAAACAATCTGTAGTCAGCAGTGCACAATTACAATTCGAAGATCTCATTTGTCAACAGTGCCAGTTTAACTGAACATTTAAAGTGCAAAAAACTCGTATTACACCCCGCAACACCTGTGCAACGTAGTCACCCAGGATGGTTAAGGATGTAGGCAATTACAGACCACGAATTCTTAGGAAACTCCACCTCTGGCACTACAGTATTTCTATTTTGTAAGATTTTATAAGATATTTTATAACTGCTGGTTGTTCGAGACAAATTATGTAGATCATGTAGTATTATTTGTTATTGGAATTTTTAGCTCCTTAAAATAATTTCCAGTCAAAATTGTCATCAAGTACAAGTTATTCATTATTCAGCATCAGAAAAATAAAGAGAAAACATTTTCAGTGTTTAGTGTCCAAACATTTGCCTTTATTAGAGCTTCCATTCTTCTCAGCAGACTTGGTTTCAGTTTTCCAAAGAGATCTGAAGGGGTATTTTTCCACATTTCCAAAGTTCAGTCTTCAAAGTTGGTAGCATTTTCTGCTTCTCACAATTCAAGTAATGTCATACACATTCAATGATTTTGAGGCCTCTGCCGTCCCAATATAACGTAGATTGCTAAATAAATGATAAATACGAACGTCAAAGGGCACTTACTGTTTAAAATGTGCACTGTTTTCTTAGTGAAATAAGATCAGTTTAAACAGTGCCCAGTATATTGTTTAATATATATCTTAAGGTTGCACAGATTTATCAGTATCAGCAAAAATGCCTCATTATTAGGGGCTTGTTTAGTTCTGTAACTACACTTGTTTGTAAGAAATGTAAATGTTTTGTGATTTTATGCCAATGCTTGTACTATTTTGCAGTGTAAAAAATCATTTTATGCTATTCCTTGTACTGTTTTAACAGTTAGTTATTGTCATCTAATCAAATCTGTCTTCATCAAATCAAATCAAATCACTAATATCAGTGAAAAAATTCAGTCAGGCCCGAATTTTAAATGAAGTGATCTCAAAGTGACCTTTTCAGTGAACGTTTAAAGAGCTTTATTACGGATGTGTAAGTGCTGTACGTAATGCAGGCTGTGTGTGCGTGTGTGCATGCAGGGCGGAGGTGGAACAGCTGTCTCTAGAGAAAGAGCACCTGCAGGACGCTGTGGAGAAGCTTCGAGGTCGCTGTCAAGAAATGGAGGAGCAGTGTGTGCAGCATGGGAGAATGCACCAGCGCATGAAACAGAGGTACACACACACACAGTAACAGCACTCACCTCTTTTAAGAAACTTCGGTCTTGTGCATAATTCAGTCTCAAGAAAGAAAGAGGGTCAATCCCAAATAGAACACCCCTAGTCCATAGTTATATTGAGAGAAAATCTGTTACAGACTGAGTGACCCAGCAGTGTGTATGGAGTGTATTCATTGCATTGGATAGTCTGTGAAATATTTTCTATATTGCCTGTCAAATGCAGCAAGAATACTCAAAATGTATGTGCACCATTTATTTATATATCTGTGTCAAACTTCAGGGCAGAAGCATGTTCTTTAACACATTTGTTGCTAAGAAGAGATGACGTCTGACTTACTTTAATAAGACTGGACATGTATCTAAATGATAAGGCTGTGGTGTGATCCTGAGTTAATGCTTTACCTGATTTTATTGTGTGGATCCCTTTGCAAAATCAAATGCAAAATCAAAAAGCACATATTTTAATCTACTCCTCTCCTTTACTAATGTGGATTCTCAGTGATTTTTATTATAATTTGATATACAAGTGCTTTTCCAAAACTTTCCTCAAGGAAGATTTGTGGGATTTGTGGTTTCCATCCAATACCTAGTTTATATATATATATATATAAAATACATCATTAAATTAAATCAGGTGCTGTTGATGGACTTTAACAGATCCATGCTATGACTGATGTGCACCAAGAGCTCAGGAACAAAAGCTGTGTCCTTAACTCTTATAAAGAAAAAACTTACTGCCTAAAACTTTTGCAGAATTTGGATCAGAAATCCAATTAGAATTTTCCCCTTGTTCGTTCGTCAAATATTCAAATATATTCAAATATAAAATACATTATCCAAGTAGTATACATGACTGCAGTAAACACTAGAAGTCAGTGTTATTTGTCCTAAATTCACAAGCATAAATGATCAGCATAAATGATCAAGTGACCCCAAAACCACATGGTGGAGGCCACCTGGAGGTCGTGATGTGTGATCTTTGAGAATGACTGCATAAAATCCCCATGCCAGTGATATTTCTCTGTCATTATAAGCTAAAGAGAGTGGCTGTGCTGAAAGCATGAGCGTGCTGTTTGTACTCAAAGTAAAAAGCTGTAACCGGCATGATTGGCTGCAGTAGCTGTGTAGCAGCTTAGCCAAAACAGCTAAACTTGCAGCTTACTTCACTAACTTATGAATAATATCTTGCTGCACTTCAGAACATCCACATTTGGGGCACTGGCTTGTTGGAAGAAGTCTTCCATCTGAAGCAGATCATTGAATGTTTCACATAAAAATGTATTTGTACCCATATGTATTTGTACCATTATTCAGCTTATGTTGTAGACATATCACCTTGTTCAGAACAGTCAAACTGGTAAAAAGCTGTCAGATGTTTTCAAATATCCCTATACAATTCTAATTAAAACCAAGATAAATTATCGTTGTGTTGTGTTGTTTATGGTCACCACTGTTCCTCCTGCTGTTAGGTGGCTGTCATTTTGATAAGGTTATTAACTATTTGACCTGAAACAAACTAGGAGCCACAGTAGAGATAGCTTAAAATATTTTAAGGGACATTTTCTACATTGAGTGTGTTGTGCATTGTTTTCTATTGGATTTGGGATGTGGTGTTTTATTTTAACAGCCCTGTGTCGCAGCCTACTATTTTGAGCAAACATATATGTGTATAGGAATATGCTTTACACTTTACTCAGCTTTTATTGTTACTCTGATGAAGCGTATCTGTAAGCTCTTAGCAACTTGAAATCTGTTCACACGCTCACTCAGAAGCTTTCACAGTCAAGACAAGTATCATACTTCTTTTACTTAGTGATAGAAAACACAGAGTAGAACACAGAAAGCTCCATTTCCGCATGCTGATCCATTTTATTTTACTATGCTGAGCACTGCCGTTAAAGGGAACATCACCAACATCTCTGAATATAGATTGCGTTAAGGCTAATGCTTTCTTTTACAGTAAAGTTCTAGGTATCAACCAGGTACATCTGAGGTACAAACTCCAAAAAAAATTAGGTAATTATTTTGGGTAACATAATGGTACGTTCCAAGGCAGTTTAACTAAACTGAGATGCCCAACAGGTTCTAGATATGTGTGTGATAAGTGGTGTGTAATTATTTTGGATAAAAGGAGGATAATTACTAAGACAATTTATCTAAATTACACTAAAATTACTAACCTGTTCTAGCTGTTAAGTGATAAAGGACATAGTAAAGTACCATAACTATTTAAGGTGACAAAGTGGTACAAACATGCATTAAATTTCACTGTAATGTCACATTTTTAAGCTTGAAATCAGAAATACCTCCAAATACCAGGTAGACATAATGGCATGAAATGAAAATGCTAAAAATAAGTAAGAATCATTGCTTTCAGTTACAGCCCAGAGTCAGTTGTGTTCATAGTAAAACAACTACAGACTGTAAGATTCTGTGTACTTTATTCATACACAATCTTTTTGTACCATCTAACTCTGTTAAAACCACTTATGCTCTTAGGTATATTTCGGTTTTTGCTCCTGAATTTACATACCCAAATTGTAAGACAAATTATTCAGTAAGTGCATGAAATTACTGTATTTTTTTTTTATTTTTTTTTGTAAAAGTTCCCCTCAAATTAACAGAAAATGTGTTCTATGATCATAGACATAATGCTATATGCTCACAGTTTACTGCTGAAAGCCTAAAATCGTAGATGCTCTTTGTATTTTTACAGAGAATATCACAATTTTTACAGAGAATATCACTGAAGAGACACCATCTGAGATCCAGTTTCTAGCTTAGAATTGTGGAAAAATGGGTCGACTTTCAATGAAAAAGAATTGTGAGTTCAGCTTCTTTTATTATAAAGTTTTAAAATTACATTACCCCTCTATTTGACTGGAAAGAAGATAGTTACAGCTCTCATATGACACCCACCTTTTGATTGAAGCTTCTAAAATATGAAAGTTATGAAGTAAAAATATATGACGAAGTGCGTTTTGGAACCACCGGTGGTCCCAAGGAGTTAAAGAGGTTAAAACCTGAACCTGTTTGGCATTTCTGTGTGATTTAGTCTGCTTTGGAACGTACCATTGTGTTACCCAAAATCATTTTGTGCTTTGGAGTGTACCTCACACTGACCTGTTTAATACCTAGAACCTAAGGGACTGTAAAAGAAAGCATCACCGGGTTAATAACCACATGTTACATACCACATAGTATTAGCTCCTATTAAAACAGGTGAAGAAGAAGAAATCAGCACACAGAAATCAGTTTTAAGCCTTTTATTGTAAAGTCAGTCTGCTCTTTCACTTTCCTGTCTTTGAGATTTTTAGAATACATTCAGTGAGTCATTTGCTAAAATTACTCTAACATAAGATGCCCAGTTACCAATAACTTAAGATTTTTCCAGGCTGATCACACAGCACTCCTTTCTGAATTGAATCCAAACCAGAACAGAGCACAATGGCAGTACAAATATACCGTATTTCATGCCCTGAACGATGAAAGTGAATCATATGAAGTCTTTTCTAAGAGAGTGGCATGCCAGTGACAGCAGCATGCAGCAGTGTGAGTATGATGCAGCGGGTCTGGATGCTGGAGCGCACGTGGCCTCGCGATACAGGGCGGCAGGGGCGTCTGGCACACGGTCCGAGTCAGCACGTGGGCGAGAGAAGGAGCGTGGGCGTATCCACGGCAACTCCAGCCCGAGCTGAGCTTCTGCTGGGAGCACAACATCCGTCTGCTTTCAGCATAACCCTACATATTGTTCAACACCCACTGCCTTAACCCAGCACCCAGCAAAACACGAACGAATGAATAAATACCGAAAACAGAGAGAAAGAGAGAGAAGGGGAAAAAAACAGGTTTAAAGACATTCACACCTGTTTTACTTAAGAATTGTGGGTTACATTATAAAGAATTTAGATTTACAGTGTTTGCACAGCTTTAAAGTAAGACAAGCAGTTCTATAGAGTAGTGCTTAACCTCTCTACTATAAAGATTCCGTTCTAAAAAGAAGGGTGTATCAAGTGCATTGCCTTTTAGGGCATGCTGTAATTTTACATAGTTTGCTTCCACTTTTCAGCCATTTATAAAGAGAACAGCTTTAGTGTCATTTGATTGTTTTGAGTTATCTAGGGTTATAGACAGTGTTAAAAGTAACCCATAACAAATTACTAGTTACTTTTCTTAAGCTCTAATGAGTTACTTTGCTTATTACCAGTGCTGGGCTGAATTGAAAGTTAGTGATGGCTGAATCCTGAATAAACTGTCCTGAATGTATTCCGTAGCAAATTCAGTTACACTACATATAATCCATTAAAAAGTAGCACATTCAGAATACACAGTGAGAAGGCGTATGCTGTTCTGTTTTTTGTTTAATTCACATGGTTCCTTGCTGTTACTGGTTGACAGTTTTATTTATATAATTCTTCCGTTCATGCTGTATGTTTCATAAAAAAATTCAGATATTTAAATAGTTACAAAATTCTCAACATTATTTTGGGTCACATCGCTTGCTTCAGTCCAATTCTGCTCCCATAATCCCACTGCTGTCTTATGATCTAAGCAAATAATTTGCTATGTCACAATAACAAAATCTTACAAATCTGACTATAAAGTGGACAGCTATGTGATGTTCAGTGCGTAGCTGGACAATGACATGTCTAACTTGCCTTGAGACATATGCACGTCCAGTATAACACCAACATTTATCACTCATGAACATGTCCACTACTGAGGGCACTGTTCTGTTCCATCATCCCTCAAAGCTGTTTTTTGAGTTCTTCTTTAGGATACATCTTTACACACTGTGTGCTGATTTTAAAATAGTTATTAAACAAAAATTGGTGTTTTTTTAAAGATGGTATACTTTAAAGATGGTGTTCTGTCTTTTCAGTACTTTATTAAATAGCCAGTAAACATCACTTATAAGGCTTGTTACCATACCAGTTATGCTTGGTCAAAATTATGAACGGCTGATGCAGTACAAAAACCTAAAAACATAGAATC